AAGTCCCCCATCGGTCGCAATTTACAATGCGATTATCTGAGGCTTGGGCTTGGATTCTGCAAGGCGGCGCAGCGGCGCTGCAGCTCTTGTTCTAATGTATGCAGCGAGTTCTCCATCCGTCGCCATGGGTATACGATTAGCTATATCATTGCGCATTGCCGTATCATTGTATATGTTTCCCAGTTAGCCTTTTTTATTTCCTCAATTCCGCGGTTCCCCCCCCTCACACCCCCCTGCCCCCACCTCCCCCACCCTTCTACCCCTGGCCCTAGCTTAACCTTGGGCCTGCTGACCTTGGGCGCCAACAATAGTCCCCTGCAGTCCTGTGGTGTTGGGTCCGCGTTTAAAGGGCGGGCACCGCGCCCCTCTCACCCCGCCCCCCCTCCCCCCCCCCCCCCCCCCCCCCCCCCCTCAGCAACCGCCCCACCCCCTTCTCCCCCACATTCTCCCCCTCCTCTGCTCCTGCCTCTGCCGCTGCCCCCCGCACCGCTCAACCACGTAGGCGCTCCCTCGCACCATTCGTTGCGCCATCGGGGGTTCCGCCGAAGGTTCCAGCGGCAGGGTTCGCATGGCGGCACCGCAGTTGGGCGCGCCCTTCACGCGGTTCGTGGCTCCAAAGGGAGCTTCACCGAAGGCCCCTGTGGCGGGGCTCGCATGGCGGCCCCGCATTTGGGCGCGCCCCCCCGCGGGGTTCGCGGCCCAAAAGGGAGCTGCACCGAAGGTTCCAGCGGCAGGGTTCGCATGGCTGCACCGCATTAGGGCACGCCCCTCACGCGGCTCGCGGCCCCAAAGGGGGCCCCACCGACGGTTCCAGCGGCAATGTTCGCATGGCGGCACCGCATTTTGAGCGCGCCCCTCGCACGGTTCGTGGCTCCCAGGGGGGCCCCACCGAAGGCGCCAGTGGTAGGGCTCGCGCGGCTGCCCGCATTTGGGCGCGACCCCCACGCGTTTCGTGGCGCCATGCTCGGTTCTACCTGGGTCGAGTGGCAGGGTTCGGGCGGCTGCCCCGCCCCATTTGGGCGCACCCCTCACACGGTTCGCGGCCCTGTTGGAAGCCCCACCGAAGGCCCCGACGGCAAGGTTCGCATGGCGGCCCCGCATTAGGGTGCACCCTTCACACGGCTCGCGGCTCCATTGGAACCTCCATCGGGTGTTTCAATGGCAGTTTTCGCATGGTGGCCCTGAATTTGGGTGCACATCTCACACGGTCCGTGGCCCCATAGTGAGATCCAACGAAGGCTTCAATGGCAGGGTTCACACGGCGGCCCCGCATGCGGGCGCGCCCCCATCGCGCGGCCCGTGGCCCCATAATGGGGCTCCACCGAAGGGCCAGCGGCGGGGTTCGCATAGCCGCGCCGCTCCATCTTGGCGAACCGTTTTCACACGGCTCGTGGAATTATAGTGAATTCCCTTTGTTTCGTCTTATTTGCCCCGCGGTATTGCATTTGCATATGGTTGGGGCCGCCGCCAGGGCAATGTTTTTATTTGCGCTGCCATTGGGTCGCCTGGGCACGCGCCATTGCTTTGCAGGGCATCGGCGCGCAATGATGAAATCGCGCGGGTGCACGCTGGTTGGCACGCGGGAGGGGCGGGGGGGGGGGTCGCGCGGTTGCGCGCTTGGGTGGGCAGGGCAGCGAGACATTTTTCAGAATACGAAGGAACCCTGTAAACGAGCGTGTGATATTTCATTTGCGGGTCGCCGTTTTCGGTTGGTGGCACGGGGGGGGGGGGGGTGGAGTGGCTTCGCGCGGTGGAGCAACGTGGACTGCAAGTTTCGTCGTTGTTTGCATTTTCCGTCGTCCAAGGAATGTGCGTCGCTTGCTGCAGTTTGTAGATATCCGTCGTGCGTGGCATGCCCAAGGCGCTGTTGTAATGCCCACCCAATCTGGGACCGTTGTCAGTCGTTTTTGTTGGCGTGTCGTTGCCGAGCACAACAGACGTTATATAAGTATATACGCGGTCGTCTCGTTTCCACACATTTTTTCTCTGCAATCGTCCATCGTCGTGTGGCTATGTAATCGATAATGCCGCGTGTGTTGTGTTCCATGTGATATGGTCGGTGTACCGTGTGGTGTCAGTTGGGTGTGTGGTTTTTGCTTGGGCGCGTGCATGTGCATTTCGGTGGTTCGGTAATATATGCATTGCATGGGTGCTGAGCGGGCCCAAGGGTTTCATGCTTACCGCAATTGAAACAAAAGTGCATCGGGGGCAAAACTTCAGTATGCGCGAGATAGCCTAACACTGTATTTTGGTTGTTGCGTGTTGTGCGTTTTGTGTCTTGTTTAGTATTACATTGCCCAATGTTTGTTGTTTGGCTGGTATGGTTCCCCTGAAGGGTTATCGCGTGGCATGGTGTTGTCTGTTCGACATTGTGCACATGTTACCACGTGGCGTGCGTGTGCTGCGCACGGTGGCGGGGAGAGCAATGTTACTCCGTACTTGCATTTGCATGTGAGTTTTGTGTGTCCCATGTGCATGTACACGTAATGTTTGTGGTGCATGTGTGTTGCCATGCAGTGTGTATGTATGTTACGTACATGTAGTAAATGTTATGTATGCGTGCCATGTCTGGTGTATTGCATGGCAGGTGCGCATGGTCGTACTTCATACAAACTATGTGTGCACCAGAGGTCGCATTACATGCGTTTAGCATGCCGCTACCTCAGGTCCTTTGTCTTCGCTCCTGGCATCGTGCATTCGTATCGGGTAGCGAGGGCGACTGTCCTGGATCGAGGCCCTGGTCCGACGAAAAAACGCTGGTGTCCCAGGGTGTCGCTGACCTCGCTAAGGTCCCATGTTGTTAGGTATGTTGGTTTTGTGATCCAGGGAACCAGGGGCCTTGAGAGGGTCTCGAGTCAAAATCTCAGAACAACAACGGCTGCGCATAGTCTTGAGTTCAAGGGATCCTGTAGGGCCAGCTTCACCGCGTTCTCCTGGGGGCGCTTTTGGACGGGACGTGAGGGGGGAGGTGGCAAAGGAGGGTGAAAGGAGGAGGAAACAGACGGCGCAGGAACGAGGAGGAGGAGGGGGCGGGAGAGAGGGGAGTCCGAGCTTCGAGAAGATGGGGGGGGAGGACAGAAGGAGGAGGAGGATGGAGAAACATAATTGGAGGATGTGGTCTAGTTCTTGGGCCTCGGAATGGACTCAAAAGGGGCGTGGTTAGAGTCAGGGGTTTTCGTGTGGGGGCGGTGCGTTTTGACATTTCACTTTATGGTTTCTTGCCCAGGATGAAGTGAACGCGTTGACTGATCTCGCGGAGAACAACACCCACAACGTCGGGACCTTCGACCCCCTGGCCATCGGCGCGGCCTCGCTGACCATGAACACTAGCAAGCAGAAGAGGCGACGGATCGACGACGACTTCAAGAGTGCTGTCATGCACTCGGCGATGCGCAAGGGGATGGCCTCTACGCCGCAGGGTTATGCTCGATCTCAGCTGGGCCTTAATGATGGTACTGTAGCGGACTGGATCCCAAGACACATGGCTGAGTACAAAGCTTCCCTGGTGATTAGCTTCAATATGGTCCAAGACTTGGGGATAGCATTCGATGCATCGCGAGTTGGAATGCCTAAGGAAGAAACTCTTACTATTGCTGCAGTTGATTCTCGCAAACACCTTGCCGGATGACTGGCACCCCAGGCGCCCTCCAATTTTGAAACCACCATCCTCCTCCATCCAGCACCGCTCTTATGAAAGGAACTGGCATAGGCTGCCTGAGTATGAGTCTGGGCATGACTGAACCTGGGAGAGAGAGATAGAGCAAGTCTTAGTATGAATGCACGTCAAGTGGGTCTGAGTATGAGTGGATCTTAGTGTGAACCATCTGAGTGGATTTGAATGTTTGAACTCATTGTTCTTGAATTGTTCGCGCACCTTCTCACTATCGACTCGTCTAGACGATCTCCAGACCTTAATATATTCATGTTAGATAGCATGTTGCAAGCTTATGGCTATGATCGCATGCTAGTTTCAACATATTTCGGTTTGTTGTAAACCTTTCTTGCATTCATCTCTTGTGGAATTGGTTGTGGATGATTGCGTTTATCCTCTTACGATAGTCCTCCTGCACTGCTCCTCCTCCCGCTCCTCCTCCTGATCCTGATCCCCCCGCTACTCCTCATCCTGCTTTTCCTCCTCCTGCTCCTCCCTATCCTTCTCCTATTGTTGTTCCTCTTCATGCTCCTCTTCCCTGCCCTTTGTCTCGTCGTCCTACTCTTTTCTGTCCCTGAGTCCTGAGTTTGTCCCTGATTGAGGTACATGTACCGGATTCGTCTCTCTGAGGTACATGCACCTGGTTCGTCTCCCAGAGGCACATATGTACCGGGCCCCGTCGCGGGGCCCCGCCAAGTACATATGTGCCGGCCCCGCGGGGTGTAAGCACATCGCCCGAGGGCACAGGTACATCGATGTACCGGCGAATGTCTCGAGCGATTTCGTCGCAGATTTCGAGGTACATTATGTACTTTCGTTTGCGTTTGCTACAGGCAGGCGTGCCTCCAGAGTCCTCGGGGGGTACACATGTACCGCGCGGCCTGCGGGGGCTTGGATTCTTGGGCCCCTACGAGGTACATGTACCTGGGGGCGGCGCCTGGGATCTTGGAAATAAAGCTTCTGAGAGCGTCCTGAGGGTCTCCTGTGCCTGTGGCCCCCCTGGCGATCTCCTGAAGACCGCGGGGGGGGGGGGGAGGATTGCGAAGGAAGGAGAAAGTGATGAGACGGGAAAGGGGAGGGATGAGGATGAGGAGAAGGAGGTTGAGGATTGAGTTATTTTTGTTCGGCGTGCCTCAGGTTCTCCCCGACTGGCTTAAGAGCGGCTTGAGGGTTGCAGGCACGGTGTCTGGCAGGAGCGACATCATCAAGTACGTAGGCGAAACTGTTGACAGATTTTTCGATAGAAAAGATCGGATGACCGCTAAGGAGCTGAAAAAGCGTAAACTTCCTGAGATGATTCCAAACAGAGAAATGGCACTCGCTATTGACCACGGCCTCAAAAGTGCAGGATTGTCATTCGAGTATTTCATTCCGAAGGTGAAGATGGCTCCGTTAGCGGCGAACGAGATTCGATACATCATTAAACTTCCAGAGGACAGGCGGGTTCCAGGCACGAGTAGGTTCAGGAGTTGCATCATGAACAAGGACAATGGGTCGACGCGGGTGGAGTTGCCACGTCAGCTGAACTGGGCCGAAGGTTGTAGCTCGCTCCACTCGCCGAGTCTCCACAAGTCTTTCGACGAGGGCTCGATCGGCTTGCTGATGACTCACTGGATGGATTGTTTTCTCGGAGTGCGCGGTACATCTATTGAGGACAAGTGGCATCGCTTCTGGAACGACATGAAGGGCGCGCTGATCGAGAACGACTTGTGGTCGGTCATCAGCGAGCGCACGGTTGTGTTCAACATGATGACTGCCCCCTTCGGCCACCACAAGTTCTTCGCTGAAATCTCGGAGGCCGCCCATGAGTACTTCAGCACTCGGACTCCATCCTGCCCATTGTTCTTGATGATGTACGAGGACCGCCAGGAGGAGGAGGGGGGGGGAGGAGGAGCAGGAGGAAAAGGAGGAGGAGAGGGGAGGAGGAGGAGGAAGGAGGAGGAGGTGGAGGAGGAGGAGGAGGAGGGGAGGGATGATAAGGACGGAGGAGAAGGAGGGGTGAGGGGGACGGACTGAAGATGAGGGTGAACAGATTTGAGTGAGCATAAGCAGCCGCAGGACATCTGCGCAGAGAAGGGCATGCTGGACGACTTCGGCATTGGCACCGAGAACCACAAGGAGTATGTGTGGAACATGGTCAAAAATAGCATTGCTTGGTCGATCAAAGGCTCCAGAGTAAAAATTGGCAGGTGGGCTAGTTGGATCAGCGCTAACCGTGAGTGGAGGGGCAAAAAGATGGAAGTCTTGTTGGTGTTGGTGCACATTGGCATGCTACATGGCTGGTGGAAGTCCCTCGACGGAGTTCCGATCACGCCGTCGGCGATGAAGATTCTCGAGGTCGATTCTGGCGATGAGGGCGAGGGTCCAGCCGAAGGAGATGGTGATGGAGCTGGGTCTGGAGCTGCGCCCGCGGCTGGTGGTGCAGCGCCTGCGGCTGGTGCGGCTGAGGAGTCTCAGGCGCCTGGTGGTGGAGGTGATCCACCTGTCGATCCAGGTGCTCCAGGACAGGGTGCTGCTGCTGCTGCAGGTGCTCCTGCTGCCGTCGTTGGCCAGTACGTTGGTGGATCGGATGCGCCAGCGAGGCCGGTGAAGGAGTCAAACGAGCAGCTGAAGAAAGTTCGGAACAAGTGCCAGAACACGCTGCACTTCGTTGCGCACGCCTTGAGGAACCACTTCGGCAACCAGGTCGCGGAGATCATCGACGCAGGCATCTTTCACTTCTCCGAGTTCTTCGATATGAACAAGTCGAAGTGTAAGACCATCAAGGGCGCGCTTGACTTCCACGTCGGCTTGACCAAGCGCAGGATCAACACTGTGATCGCGAAGGCCTTCTCTTTTTTGTCCGACCAGAACACATACAATAACGTGAAGTTGCACCGCCCCGAGTTCTTAGACGTGGTCCCCGAGCTGTTGGTCCTGCAGGATCAAGGTTGACAAACGGACATCCATAGAAGCGTTCAGACGGCGTTGAGGAGGAAGGTGAGAAGGAGAAAGGAGGAGGGAGGGGGGGGAGAGAGGAGAGGATTGAGGCAAAGAAGGAGGAGGGGGGGGGGCACGGATGATGAAACGGATGAGGAGGGAGGAGGAAGGGGAGGAGGAGGGGGGGGAGGAAGAGGAGGAGGGAGGAGGGGGGGAGGGAGGCAGGATGACCGAGGCAGGGCCCTCCTCCTCACCCCCTCCCCCTCCTTCTGTCACCTCCTGCTACCTTCTCTTGCTTTCCTTTCCTTTCCTCCCCCTCCTCCTCGTCGTTCATGCCTTTCTACCTGCCTCCTCCTCCTCCTCCTCCTCCTCATCCTCACTCCCCCTCCTCCGCCTTATCCTCCTCGTCCTCATCCTCCTCCTCAGTCATGTGTTTTCCTGCGGCCCACGCGGCTGCTGCCCTGATGCGGTCTCTCGCCGCATCGCGGTGCTCAGAGAGCTCCAACGCGAGCGGCGCGGGGAGCAGTGGCAGAGGCAGAGGAGGAGGAGGAGGAGGTTGAGGAGGGAGGATGGGGAGAAGGAGACAGGAGAAGGGAGGAACGCGGTGCACCGTCTCTTCGAGACGAGGGCTCAACGCCACAGGACGGTTGGGCACTACTTTTTGTTTTAGGTTTACGTTGAGATATGTCCGAGGCCTTCACGCGGATTTGGCGCTTAACCACTGTCCTACGCCGAGCTCCTCCCCTCCAACAGCGATCCTCGATCCTTGATCCTCGATCCTCGGCCTCCCTCCTGGCTCCTCCTCCTCCTCCTCCTCCTGCTCCTCCTCCTTCTCCCCCTCCTCATCCTCCTCGTCCTCGGCCTCGTCCTCCTCCTCCCCCTGCTCATCGTACTCCTCCTCTTCCTCCTCGTCCCCATCCTCCTCCCCCCTGCCTGGAGGAGGCCTCCTTGGTGGTGTTGGCGACGGTTCTGCCCCCCCCCCCCCCCCCCATCTCCTGGAAGTTCGGCCAGGCGCGCCGGTTCGTGAGAGTCGGCGGTGTGCCGAGGGGCCAGGGGGAAGGATGGCACCCTGGGAGGCAGGGTGCAACTCCTCCTCCTCGTTCTCCTCCTCCTCCTCCTCCTCCTCCTCCTCCTCCTCCTCCTCCTCCTCATCCTCATCCTCGTCCTCCCCCTCCTCCTCTTCCTCCTCCTTCTCCTCCTCCTCCTCGTTTTCCTGTCCTCCTCCTCCTCCTCATCCCACTCCCCCTCCTTCTCCCCCGACTCCTCCTGCCCCTGCCCATGCTCATGCCCCTGCTCCTGCTCCTGCTCCTCCTCACCCCCTCCTCCTCCTATTCCTGCTCCTCCTCCCCCTCCTCCTCCGCCTGCCCCGCGCCGCTGCCCTTGATCGCACCTCTCACGCGGTTCGTGGCACCGTGGGGAGCTCCACAGAAGGCACCAGTGGCAAGGCCCGTATGGCGGCCCCGCATTTGGGCGCACCCCTCACACGGTTTGCGGCCCCATGGGGGGCTCCACCGAATGCCCCAGTGGCAGGGTTCGCATGGTTGCACCGCATCTGGGCGCACCCCTCACACGGTTCGTGGCATCATGTGGGGTTCTACCTGAGTCGAGCGGCAGGGTTCGCATGGTGGCCCCACCCCATTTGAGCGCGCCCCTCACACGGTTCGTGGCACATGGGGAGTTCCTTTTGCTTCGCCCCACCTGCCTTGCGGTGGTAGGATACTTTTAACATCTACCCAGGGTTAACTATCTGAACAGTTCTAGGCATTAGCTTCGCACGCGCCATGCTATTTACATGGCAGCTGGCTCTGGCTCGGGCGCTAAACGAGCTTGCCAGTGCATCTGATCGTACGGGTCGCAGATGGTGACGATCTCGAGCCAGAGCTCCACCATCTTGCCAGGCGTAACATTGGACATCTCGTTCGGTAACTTGATCATGTCACCCCTGGGGATCATTGCGTCCTTGGGCCGCGTGTCCTTCACGATGCGAAGCTCTGCTACGCCGTTCTCCGCGGCGGTGCCAATCGCTCGACAGCGCAGCTTGGGCAGGTCTGCCACCCACCGCTCTCCGAGCTGCCAGGTGGGCGGGGCTGCCAGGATGCGGTGGCGCGCGGCGCGGCATGGCAGCGTGATGCGCTGAGTCGCCTTCAAGGAAACTCAACACATTCCAAGAACACCGTCGGTGTTCTTCAAGCCGCGACGCCCGTCGCCGCATCTAGGGAGCCTCGCGGGTAGCCGCCTCCACGAGGCGCACCGAGTCCAAAGTTGCAGCAGCAGCAGCGCCAGGGCCGCCAGCATCACCGATAGAAATCGTAACTGGCGCGGCTGTGCCAGAACCCCTCGCCTCGGCGACAAGGCACCGCACTATGCGGGGACGGAGTTCACGTGGCAACTTCGCGGCAACACGCCCCACGAACAAACGTTCCTCTTGAAAAATCATCCTGGGAGCCACCTCGTCGACTGCGATGCTCTGAAGGCGCGCAGGAGCGAGATGCCGATGGGCAAGGCACCGCGAGCGCCGACTAGGACCCCATTGCGCCGATGACGCCTGTCCTCTAAAAAGCTATGGGGTCCTACCGACGCCAACGTTGCCGCTGCTATCGGAATGTCACCCTTGCGCCCCCTGATGGGGCCCTGCTGCTTGCGCAGCTCCTTGTTCACGTCGTTGGAGAGCACGTAGTAGCGCATCCGCTCGAGCCTCCTGTCGAGCTCCTTGTCGGCGTCGCGGCAGCGGCGGCTACGTTTTTCGAGGTGGCTGATCTCCTCGTCGACCTCCTCGTACTGTCGGAGCATCCCCTGCAGCTCTAGTACTGCAGCATTAGTACTGGACTTAAGCCGCTTGGCTTTGAAACGGCACAGTTCGAGTATGCAATCATGATCGTATTTGCTAGCCAAGTCCAGGAGCCACTGCTCGTGGCTGGACATCGGCTCGGGCCAAAATGGCTTCGGCGAAGGCCCAGAGTCTCCCCCGCGCGCAATCAAGCAGCGGCTTGCCTCTGGAGCGGAAACTGCTAGCGGTGCTGCAACCGAGGTCTGCGACAAAACCGAGGTCGCACTGTGTATTTCGCACCGCATGCCCAAAATTGAAAACCCAATGTTAAAGATCATTCTGAATGATCTTTAACATTGGGTTTTCAATTTTGGGTGTAAGAGTTCAACGTCGCTCACATGCGTTGAACCTACCAGTTGCGTGCGTTGGGATGAATTAAGCCTTTCGCCCCCGTGCGGAAAAACCTTTCATGCATGACGCATCGTATGCCCACATTGGGATGATACCGTCTTCCGGCCAGGGGTTTGTGTTTACGTTTGGTTTTCGCCGTTTGGGGTGCAACATCGCCTCCATGCATTAAGCATTGTAACATATCAGCATCGCTCCCATGTGTTAAACCTATCGCTCCCGTGCATTGAACCAACCCTGTATTTCGCATCGTATACCCACATTGGGATGATACCATCTTCCGATCAGAGAATGATGTTTACATTGGGTGTTCGCCATTGGGCTTGGGGGTTTAACATCGCTCCCATTATGGAGTAAACCATTAGCGGCGCGCAGCCGCCGCGATCGCGCGCGCGTACGCGCGCGCGCGTTGAGGAGGTCTGCATTGTTCACAATAGAAAAGCTGACATGAAATTGTGAAAAACTAAATTTAATTTTTCTCTTGCTCTACAAGGAGGCCGACGGGCGCGTCGGCTTTATTATTGTGGGCAATACAGAGCTCCGATGCGCGCGCGCTGGCGCTTCGCCTTGTGCATCTCGTATCGCATACCCAGATTGTGATGATCTCGTCTTCCGACCAGACAATGAATTTTTACGTTGGTTTTTCACAATTTGTCTGGGCGTTTAACACCGCTCCCATGCATTAAACCATCAGTGGCGCGCAGCCGACGTGTGCGCGCGCGAGTACACGCGCGCGCGCGTTGAGGAGTTCTGTATGGTCCACAATACGAAAGCCGACATGAAATTCCCAAAACTGAATTTCAAATTTCTGTGTCTCTTATAGGAGGCCGACGGACGCGTCGGCTTTTCTATTGTCGTGGGTGATGCAGAACGCCGATGCGCGCGCGTACGCGCGCGCACGCGCGCGCAATGGCGCTTCGCATTGCGTATTGCGTATCGCATGTCCACATTGGGATGGCCCCGTCTTCCGATCAGAGAATGCATGTTTACATTGGGTTTTTTTTAGTGTTGGTTTTATGTGGTGGCTCAACATCGCCCCCATGCATTAAACGTGCCAACGGCGCGCAGCCGCCGCGCGCGCGTCGGCGCGCGTTGAGGAGTTCTGTACTGCCCACAATAGACAGGCCGACATGTAATTCACAAGAATGAACTCAAAGTTTCTGTGGCACTTTAAGGAGGCCGACGGGCGCGTCAACTTTTCTGTCATGTACATTAGAGAACGCCGATGCGCGCGCGTTGGCGCGCGTGCGCGCGCGCTGGCGCTTCGCATAGTGTAATTCGTATGGCATGCCCACATTGCACTGGGATGGTCGTCTTCCGATCAGAGGATGCATTTTCACATTGGGATTTCACCATTGGGTTTGGGGGGTTCAACATCGCTCCCATGCATTAAACCTACCAGCGGCGCGCAGCCGCCGCGTGCACGCGCGCGCGTAGGCTTGCGCGCGCGTTGAGGAGTTTCGTGTTGTCCACAATCAGTAGGAAAGCCGACATGTAATTCTCAAGCCTGAATTCAAGATGTCTCTTGCCCTTCATGGAGGCAGACGGGCGCGTTGGCTCTTCTATTGTGGACGATGCAGAACGCAGATGCGCGCGCGTTGGCGCGCGCGCGCTGGTGGCTTCGCATTGTGCATTTCGCATCGTTATAGCCACATTGCAATGATTCTACCTTCCGATCAGAGAATGAAGTTTCACATTGGGGTTTAACTTTTGGGTTTGGGAGTCCGACATCGCACCCCATGCATTACACCTATCAGCGGCGCGCTGCAGCCGCGTGCGCGCGCGCGCGTTGAAGAGTTTTGTAGTGCCCACAATAGAAAAGCCGACGTGGAATTCCCAA